CTGCCGGGGGAAAAAAAAAAAAAGAGAGGAGTTGAGTTTGGGCTGACCTTCCAAGCTAGGGATCTCTATAAGGAGTGACTGTACTTGATCAAAAGGCTCTTGCTATTGCTGAGTAAGGAGTAATCAACCTTTGAGGCTACTGTCATTCAGGTAATTAATAATAATAATAATAATAATATATATATATATATATATGTATGTATATATAAACTGCCTTAAGGTTTACAAAACCTTTTACGAATATTGTCTCACCTATCCCTCCTATCCTGTGAAGTAGATGCTATCCCCATTTTACAGCTGAGGAAACTAAGGCAGAGATTAAGTGACTTGTCCAAGATTACATTGTAAGGGTCTGAGGCCATTTTTTAACTTGGGTTTCTTGATTCTAAGCACAGCACTCTATTCACTATACCACTTAGACAGCAATGGGGACAATGGAAAGTAACTGGGATGGAGAAGAAGGATGGGTTTAAGAAATATTTGGATCTGTTCCTGATCAAGAAGGTAGAGGAAGAAGGGGTGATTAGGAAAAATGGAAAAATGGGTAAGTGGATTATAAAACATTATATACTCTCTGGAGTGTGGAAAGGAGGTGAGGTGATCCATGGTCAGACAGATTAGGTCAAACATTCTAGCTGCTCAATAACCTGTCTCTCATTCCTTTGGAATGCTCTGTTATCTTGTCTAATATGGTCATGGGAGGAGCTACCTCTCCCTACCTTCCGTTACACAGACAGATAAATTTATTGGCCTTGGCTATAGGCATAATATCCCTTTCTGTCCCCAGATGAGGCCCAGGAAAGGATTTTGACAGTCTAAGAAGGCATTGTCACCAAACAATGGGGAATGGATGGGCCAGGCAGTATCATAAATTGGAGACGCCACATATTTGTCAGAAGGATGCGGCATTACTGATTAATGTTGAAAAGCTCATCTCTTATATAGACCATCATGTTATTGCTCCATAATCTTTAGCACAGTTGGTGGGGGTACACAAGATGCATTGAGCCAATGTTTTGACCTAAGCGACCTTTGACCATGAGTTTTCATCCTGTTCCACTGATTACACTTTTTTAAACTGTTCCCCACCTGGTGTAATCCTCAGCATAGAGGAAGGAATGTCTGAAATCATCAACACCCTTTGGTTGGTTTTTCATGTCTAGCTGACAGAAGGAAAAGAACATCTGCCAGCAAATCAGGAGACCTGGGTTCTAGACCCAGCTCTTCTGGGAAAATAATTTCTTCTCTGGGCCTCAGTTTCCTCATCTGTAAAATGTGGGGGTTGCACTACATGATCTCTAAGATTCTATTCAGCTCTGATTCTACCATTCACTAACATGCTATATCAATGACACCAAGGTGCTGTACAGCCTTGGAATTTAACTTGTTAAGAAAACATAATGAACCTACTTCCAAAGACAGATTATGGTAAATAATGGCTATTTTGACGATGAAATGTTTTAGTTTCTTTGAAGCTTTTGCTGGAGGCACAGCAATTGAGCACATGGCTTTTCCTGCAATATCACAATGTACTTAAACTCAAAATTTTGTTATCAAAATCATTTTTGTAAGAGCTGTCTGTGTTTTTTAATGTAATGTGCGATAATAAATGCAATCTTTATTTTAGAATAAGAAAAAAAAGGATGTAGCATTGATGGGGGGGTGGGGGGAGTCCAAGCCTGAGAAGAGAGCTCTATAGATTTCTGCCAACCTGGTACACCAGGCGTACAGTAATTCTGAAGTCCTGGGCAGAGAATCTTGACATCTGGGTTTTCCAGGTTCTGACACTAAATAGCAGTGTGACTTGGGCCATATTACTTCACGTCTCTTTGCCCTTTGTTTCCTCAAGTATAAACTGAGGAGAATGAACGTCACTAAGTCAAAGATCATTTCTTGAGGACCTACTGTGTGCAAGGCACTGCACAAGATACTAGAGATAGAAAGATATCTACAGCATAGACTCTTTTGTCAAAGAACTTATCTTTAACGGGAGAAGAGACTTGTATACACATAACTATGATACAAGGGAGAGAGTGGGATGAGTAGAAAAGGAGAGGTCCCAGGCAAACGATCTTCAGGTTTCCTCTAACACTCTCTGATTCCCTCGTAACACAGCATTAGGTGCTACAGAAGACACACAGAAGAATTCATGAGCTTGCTTGTCCTCAGAGAGTTAAGTCTACCTAGGGAAATACAGTGGATGTATGTGAAAAGAGATCTCAAAACATAAGGCAGTATCACCAAGAAGGTAACATAAGACGGAACCTGGTGGTTAATGAGCTACCCACAGAGTCAGGAAGATCTGGATTCAAGGTCTGCCTCACATACACACTGGCTCTGTGACCCCGGGAAAGTCACTTACCCTTTCAGTGCAGACAGAGATAACCTAACATTCTAATAGAGCAGGTATTCACTTGTATTGGGTTGAGGTATTTTCCTCGGAGAGGACTCCCAACACCAACGGAAACAAACAAACAAAAATGGTACTGAGTACTAGGTGAGCAGTATCCTTATTAAGTACCACCCAAGAATTCTGGGATGGGAGAGGTCCACATGGGCTGAAATGGGGAAGATGCAGGAGTGTGTTGGTAAACTCCCCCCCAAAAAAGTGTGTATACATATACACTTACATGTATATATACAAAACTAACATATAAACTAAATAAAACTAACATGTTTATCTGTGTTTATATATATATACACACACATACACACACAATAAACTTATTAGTTTTATCTGCACTATTAACATTCTTTCGTTCCTTTCTTAAGTCTAGACAAGCAATAAAACGAAACAAAACCAACAAATCAAGCCTCTATTGGTAGCTTTTGCCAAGTTCCAAGGTATAAATGCTTACGTTGAAAATTTAACACTCGGCACTCCTGAATTGGATCTAATTGGCTCTAGAACATTTCTGCAAAGGGGGGACTTGAACTGGTTCTTCTAGGATGCAAGGATGTTCTAGCTCTGTGGTGGGGAACCTGTAGCCTCAAGGCCACATGTGGCCCTCTAGGTTCTCAAGTGCATCCCTTTGATTGAATCCAAACTTCACAGAACAAATTTCATTTGTTCCCCACCCCTGTTCTAGGTGGACAAAACACCATGAACAAAGGTAGGAATATCAAGGGTATTTACTGGAGACAACGAGGCGAGCAATCTAGATGGAGCAAAAAGTACAGGGAATAGGTTTGTGGGAGGTCAGAAAGGTAGGTCGTAAGCTTCATGAGGGCTTCTATCTCTTTGTTTAAACTCTATCTTTTCTAGGGCCTGACACAGCACTCTGCACGTGATAAGAACTTACCTTTTGTTATGAATGAATGCATGTACACATGCATGAATGAATAGGCTGAGGTCAGATTGTGGGGGTCTTTGAATACCAGGGCAAAGAATTACAATCCAGGTGAAATAGTGTATTCCTGTGGTAGCTAGAAAACAATGAGCTTACAATAGTTGTGCAAGGATCAGTGACTTGGAATGGGTGTAGATGGGTCAGAATTTTAAGTAACTTTGGAATGCTAGAGAATAAATCAGAGAAAAGACCATGCCAAATCCAGCCAGAAGTTCAGGGCAAGATTTCATACCAACACCAGGTGGGGAAGGGATATACAATGCTATGCAATCACTACGGGAAAAAAAAAAAGATCTATGGGTTGGAGAGGAGAGCAAGCTGACCAGGAGCCTGTCCAAAAAAGACTTTGGTTTTTTAAAATTTTATTTAAAGCATAAGACTGATATGCAGACTTGGGGAAATAATGTGAAGTAGTGCAAGTTATCCTTCCAACTTTTAAGGATTGGTCAGTTGAGAGAGTAGTCAGACAAGAAAAAGGGTAAATAAACACAATGTATGAGAAAAGGCTAAAAGAATTGGTATTATTTTAGCTTTGAAAAGAGAAATCTTAGGGGCAGCTAGGTGGCACAGTGGATAGAGCACTGGCCCTGGATTCAGGAGGACCTGAGTTCAAATCCAGCCTCAGACACATAACACTTACTAGCTGTGTGACCCTGGGCAAGTCACTAAACCCCACTGCCTAGCAAAAAAAAAGAAAAAGAAAAAGAAAAGAGAAATCTTAGTAAGCAAAGAGTGTAAGAAGGACTTACAGACCTAGCAGCTGTTTGGTATAGTGAGTGGCAAGACCTCTAGATCTTGAACAAGATGACCCGGATTGAGTTTCCACCTAACACACTTACTTATCAGGTGATTTTAGGCAACTCAATCCACCTCTAAGAGACTCAGTTTCCTCAGATGTACCATAAGGATGGTCATACTCATACTACCCACCTAATGTGGCTGTTGTGGAGAAGACACATTTTAAACCTTAAAGCTGTGTGTGTGTGTGTGTGTGTGTGTGTGTGTGTGTGTGTGAGAAAAGCTAATATTTATTACTAGTTCTTTTCCACCTCTAAGGATAACAGGAAAAGGGCATAAATGATTACATGAAGGCTTTGTGCTTCATAGAACAAATAACTTCATGATGGTGATGGGTACTAGACTGGGGCCAAGTGACGGAGAAAAAACTGGGGAATCTCTGAGGATCTTTACTAGGATTCTTAGTCTAAGATGGGTTAAGTGGGACTGCTGCATCTTCAAAGAATGACCCTCTTTGGTTTCACAGCCAAAAGTCTGGGAGCTATTTGGGGCTGAACTGGATGGATACTATAGTGGGGAGCTCTCTCTAATAATTTCTAATAATCTAACAGGAGAAAAGACATATAAACAAGTAACATGATAGAAGAGAGAGTGGGGTAAATAGAAAAGGAGTGGTCACAGGCAAATGATCTCATAAGTTTTCTCTAACAGTCTGACTCCCTGGTTACATAGCGTTTCTAGGTACTATAGGAAATTCACAGAGGCATCATTCATGGGCCCTGCCCTCAAAGAGCTAAGTCTACTTTTTAGAAATATAACATGTAAATGAAAAGAGAACTCAAAATATAAGGCAGTATTGCCAAGTAAGTGAAAGCATTTTCTACCTCCTCAGGTTTTCCTAGACCACTCCAG